GTCAGGCTCCGTGATCTTATTCAGATCACGGTAGTCCCCGCACATCCGTCGTGACAGAACCGCGCCGGTCAAATCTTTCCTGGCTTCGACCACCGTGGCAGCTGCATAACTAGACTCGGATGGGCGGATGATTCCTGCTGCCAGCAGCTCCTCACACTTCTCTTTGCAGATGGCCGCATCTTCAGCATTCATGCGCCTCCTGCGCTGGTAAGTCGGTATCTCCGTCGTGAGTTTTATTTCTAATTCCCCGCCCTTGTACTGCCCCAGCTCCTGCAGGTTGTATGCAAATGTGCCCCTATGCGCTTTCAGCAGCTGCCTGATCGCCTCTGCAGCCCCTGCCTCCACATCTGCCCCTATCTCCCATTCCTTCTCTGGCCCCTTGCTGACTTTCAGCTTCTCTTGCCTTGGCTCCGCCCTTACTTCCTTTTTCAGCTCCACCGCGGAGTACGCTGGCTGCTTCCGCAGCCCCCTTTCCCCCCTTGCCTTCTTACCTCCAGGCCCCTTTGCTCCCTTCCTCATTTCGCCAATCAGCCATCTCAGTGAGTGCTGATCAATAGCTCTCCCCACCACTGCCCTCCTTGCCTCCTCACTTACACCCGGTGCTGCGGTCGCTCCCGCTAGATAACTCATAGCCAATTCTCTCTCCAAAGCTGTCGGCTCCTCCCACCTCTTCCTTTTGTGGTCATATATCATCCTTGGGCCAGGCTGGCCGTCTGCCTCAACAAACCCCCTTGCTCCTGGGTAGGCGACCAGCGTCGGCAAGGCTCGTCGTGCCTCTCCGATCCTGTTGCACTGGTGCTGCAGGGGATGGTCCGGCTTCCACACTGGAGCTGCCACGCGACCAGGTTCCAGGATGTCCTCCACTATCCTCCAGTCATCCCTCTCCACCCTAGACAGTCTTGCACGCAGATCTTCCTCTGGTAGCACGTTCTGCCAGTAGCACCGTGACCGGTGACATCGTGCTCCGTGCAGGGCTGCATCCCAACTCACTCCCTTCCCTAGCTGTGCCTCTACCATCTCCCTCACAGCTCGCACCGGTTCTCGCGGATCTCCCTTCATATCCACGTGCTCCAAGATGTATGCGTATTTTTCTCCTTCTTCCCTCATCCAGGCCATGACCTCCAGGAGCTTCTTGATTAACCCCGTGCGCTCATCCTGCAGCCCTCTTCCCTTCCCTGCCCGAGAAGTGCCCTGGCACTCCCATCCGGCCACCAGTAAGTCCACCTTTCCCCAGCTCCTCACTTCCTGCCTGCTGATCTCCCTTACATCCCAATGCTCTCTCTTCATTGCCTCTACTATGACTTCTTTTCGCAGCTGCGCTGGATACCGCTCCTGCAAGGCCCTGGCATGACTCCACGCCATCTTACGCACCACCGGGTCTAACTCTATGTAATGCCACTTCTTAACCTCCAGGCCGGCCTCTAAGGCTGCTGCAAGCCCCGCCCCTATGCCTCCGAACAGCTCCACTAGCGTCACACTGTACTCACTCAGCTTTGCCCCCATTCCTGCAAGTGCGCTTTCTCCATGCCATTTCTTCCTCTCTCCCCTGACCGCCCCTGCTCTCCAGGCCCTCTTGGGTTCTGTCTTAACAAACCTGACCGGCAGTTCGCCCAGCTCACCTCCTTCCCTCCAACGTTCAGTACGGTACTGCACCCACTCCCCCCAAGTACATGTTGTCGCTCCCACCCTAAACAGCAGCTCCATGCCTAGCAGGATGTCGTAGTCATCCGATTCTGTCATCCCGCACTGCACTCGTATCTTGGTCTCACCCCTTTCCCCAGGCTGCAGCGTAATCTCAACCGGCTCCTTTGTACACGGCATCCATTTGGGTGCTCCCCCTTCCGCCGTCATGATGAGTAATCCCCGTTCCACGAGCTCCAAGTCCCCTTGAGCCTTCAGTTGCTCCCCTAGCTTCCTCCCAATCAGCACACTCTGCGCCCCAGTGTCCACCACCGCGTTATCTACCCGTATGCCTCTTACAGCCACAGCTCCGGGTTCGGCTACCAACGCTGTAGGCTGACACACCATTCTCTCCTCAGGCCGTCGCCGTGCTGTCCGCTTCTCATCTCCACTCTGTTGTATCTTGGGGCCTCTCCTCTCGTAGGTCTTTTCATTGGTTCTGCCGTCCACCCCTTTGCTCCTCAGCCCCAACTCTTCCCGCGGTCTAGGTTGTAATGCCATCGTACCATACTCCGCTTCCTCCTCATCTGATTCCTCCTCGTCTTCCTCCCAGGCTAGCAGCGCTTTCTCCGGATCCTCACTGACCTGAGTCTTCTCCATCTGTGCCTTTAATTTCGCCAGCTCCCTTTCCAGCTGCAGCTCTCTCGCGGATTTCCCTTTTTCCTTCTCTCCTCGGCTGTAACACCTTTCTTTCGTGTGTCCCTTCTTGCCGCAGTTGGTGCAGGTGGGAGCCTTGGGGCAGTCTCGCCTGAAGTGCCCCTCCACGCCACAGGTGTCGCATACAATGCCCACTGTGCAGTCCTTCCGTATATGCCCTTTGTTGTGCAGCAAGTATGTCCCAGAGGGTAGATTCTCACCTGTAGTCTTAGAGGTTGTGGGTTCAATTCTCAGTAGCTGCAGGTTCCCTTCTCATTATGCTCCACATTACATGTCCACACTCCACCACACTCCACCACAGTGAAGTGTGGTCACAGTTGGCATTGCCACCTGTCCACTCATCCCACACTCACCTTGCTGGCCTCTATGGTGTGCCATATGCTGTCATGTGGGCTGTTGTTCCAGCCTGGCCCACATGTGCAACATGTGGCCTCACTTGCTAGCTTGGCAAGATTGGCTAGCCTAGCCTTCAGCATTGAGGTGCTGCAGCTAGCCTCAAGAGTTCAGCCACATATATGTGGCTTCCCACTTCACTAGGAATCATCCTTGACAAGGACCTTGCTCTAGTCTTTAAGACTTGTACCATTTTCTTGCTAAGGATATTTCTTCTTCCTATCGTGCCCTAAGTTCACCGATCCATTTTCTTCATGGTATCAGAGCTAGGATTCTAGCTTTGTGAACGTCGCACACTTGATGGCTCAAGTTGAGACGCCTCTCGGTCGGCACACCCTTCCTATCTTGGAACCGGATGGTTCCAACTTCATTCCATGGAAGAAAAAGATATGCTACATCTTCAATGTCCTGGGGCTGATCTCCTTTCTTGGAGATCCCAAGGTTGCTGCCCGCCCTTCCATTTCCTCCTCCACAACCAGCAGTGGAGATGCCACTGAAGGCAACAATGGTGCAGCCCCTAAAACAGCCCACTCGATTGCGTCGCTGCCGGATGAAGAAAAAGAGGAGCATGCGTACTATCTTCTCATGTCAGCCGTCCATCCTCAGCTCTCGCTCACACTTGCTCAAGCCAACACGACGAAGGACATGTGGGGATGCATCATGGCGCGGTTTGACTGCATGGGTAACCATGCACAAGTGGCTCTTCTCCGAGATCTCATCACTACACGGATGGACCCAACAATGAGTCTTCGCTCCTACTTCGATCGAGTTGGAAATCTTACGCACCAACTCAAATCTGCCGGCTTCGAGTTACCATCTTGGGTGGTGGTAATCTCCATCATTCTCAATCTGCCGGACTCCTTCAAGACTCTCACAGAAACTATTTGCACCGTGAAAGACATCAAGTCTATGACGGTTGAATACCTGCAGTCACGTCTACTCGATGCCGATTGGGAGCGGTCACAATCTGGTACAAACCGCAACATGGAAGGTGCATACAACCTCCATTCCCAGCCCTCCCACCCTATTCGCTCCGGTTCCCGCCAGTCCCCTACTTGCCGCTACTGCAAGAAAACCGGACACACTATTGACGAATGCTTCAAGTTGAAGAAGAAGAAAGAGCTCGAAGAAAGCTCTCGACGGGAGAAATCTGTCATCCAGCCTTCGGTGCATGTGTCAACAAGCTCCTCCGCCGACATCCCTTCGACCTCCACAACACCTACTGCCCCATCAGCCCCTCAGTCCGTACCTGATTCCCGGTACGTTGACATTGCTTTCAGCACCAGCCACGGCTCCATCCTCCCCACCTGGACTCCTCTCGTCGCTGCTGTCTTCATCTTCACCATCCTCCTCCTCCTCCTCCTCTTTCCTTATGGTGCTCCCTACGCATCGGCATTCACGGCCTCCTCATCAAACATGGTCCGGACGTCTTCCTGGCTGGTGGACAGCGGCGCATCTTCCCATATCTGCTCCGATCGCTCGCTGTTTTCATCTCTCCAGCAGCCAACTGATGATATTATCGTTCGTTTTGGTGGCGGAGAGACTTACAAGGTCTTGGGAGTCGGCACGGTGGTGGCTACTCTTCGTTCACAAACCTCGGAAACCACCATCCAGCTAGACAACGTTCTGTTTCTCCCTTCATCGGTTCACAATCTGCTCTCAGTTCGTGCACTTGGAGCTGCCGGCATTGCCGTTTCCTTCCCCACTGCTGGGCGGGTTGAGCTCAAGACTGATGAGGCTCATATTGGCGAGGGCTTTACCCGCAACAACCTGTTTTATCTTCAGCTGCATCATGGGAGTAGTGCCGCCCCCCCCATCAACCCAACGGCATGTCCAGTCTCCACCACCACCTCCTCATACCTTTGGCATCGCCGTTTCGGGCATCTTAAAATGCGGGACTTGTCAACACTTCATCGGCAGCAGCTGGTCACCGCCCGCGCCTAGAATGGCAAGGGTTCATAAATACTGATTTTGAAAAGGGTTGCGCGAAGGTTGACGAGAGAAAAATTCGCCTGAGGAAGTTGGCGAAGGCAGAGTGCCCGAAAGTGTATCGCAACTTCAACTTCAACTTCCCGAAACTTGAACAAACAGCTTCGACAAAACCAAATCCAACCACTCTCATGAAGCTCACAACCCGGATTTCCGCCATGTCCACAAGCACTCTCTTTGAGCAGCCTGAGAAAAACATGCGTAAGACCAGATAGAGCATCAGTGTTAGGAAAATATGAAGTATCCAGAGTAAAATAGCTGGGCATGACATGTGAGAACATATGCTTTTATGCCGGAATCGAGAGGAATCCGAGGACCGAGGTAGGGAATGTGGCTCGAATGCGAGTGTGAAGCAAGGAGATATTGTGCAAGATGAGAAATTAGAGCGTTGTCGACTCCGCTTCCCCCGTCCGTCCATATCTCGCATCCACCGTCCGTCGCCACAGCTTCCCCCATCCGTCGCACCAGCTTCCCCCGCCCATCGCCCTCGCTTCCCCCGCCCATCGCCCTCGCTTTCCCCTCCCGTCGCCCTCGCTTTCCCCTCCTGTCGCCCTCGCTTCCCCCTCCCGTCGCCCTCGCTTCCCCCTCCCGTCGCCCTCGCTTCCCCCTCCCGTCGACCTCCCATCCCCCTCCCGTCCCCCTCCCGTCCCCCTCCCGTCCCCCGCCAATCGTCCTCCCGTCCCCCTCCCATCGCCCTCCCGTCGCCCTCCCATCCCCCTCCCATCCCCCTCCCATCCCCCTCCCATCCCCCTCCCATCCCCCTCTCATCCTCCTCCCATCCCCCTCCCATCCGCCTCCCATCCCCCTCCCATCCCCCTCCCATCTCCCTCCCATCCCCCTTCCATCCCCCTCCCATCGCCCTCCCATCCCCCTCCCGCCGCCCTCCCATCCCCCTCCCCTCCCCCTCCCAACCCCCTCCCACACCCCTCTCATCCCCCTCCCATCCCCCTCCCATCCCCCTCCCATCCCCCTCCCATCCCCCTCCCATCCCCCTCCCATCCCCCTCCCATCCCCCTCCCATCCCCCTCCCATCCTCCTCCCATCCCCCTCCCATCTCCCTCCCATCCCCCTTCCATCCCCCTCCCATCGCCCTCCCATCCCCCTCCCGCCGCCCTCCCATCCCCCTCCCATCCCCCTCCCAACCCCCTCCCACCCCCCTCTCATCCCCCTCCCATCCCCCTCCCATCCCCCTCCCATCCCCCTCCCATCCCCCTCCCATCCCCCTCCCATCCCCCTCCCATCCCCCTCCCACCCCCCGTCCATCCTCCTCCCATCCCCCTCCCATCCCCCTCCCATCCCCCTCCCATCCCCCCTCCCATCTCCCTCCCATCCCCCTCCCATCCCCCTCCCATCCCCCTCCCGCCCCCCTCCCATCCCCCTCCCACCCCCCTCTCATCCCCCTCCCACCCCCCTCTCATCCCCATCCCATCCCCCCTCCCATCCCCCTCCCATCCCCCTTCCATCTCCCTCCCATCGCCCTCCCATCCCCCTCCCATCCCCCTCCCATCGCTCTCCCATCCCCCTCCCATTCGTTCTGCTCATCTTTCCGTCCTTATTTTCCTGGGTCAATCTGTTTCCCCTGCTCATTCTCTCCCGCTCACTGTGTTTCTCCTGCCCATACTCTCCCCAACTACTCGCTCTGTTCCTCTCTGCTCACTCTCTTTCCCCCTGTTCGCTATGTTTCTTCCTGTTCACTCTCTCTTCCGCTGCTCAATCTGTTCCCCCTTTCACTCATACCCATCTCCAACCACGCAGTGTACAGGTCCCAGGCCCCCAACACCACAGGCCAAGGTTGCATGCAGTGTAGCAAACAAGAACGGGGGAAAAAAAAAATGCATTTCCTAGCTGTCTTCTTCGCGTCGATAATCAACTGCGAATTTTGTTGCACTTTTTTGTAGTGGTCATGTGCACGGCTGCTCTCAGCTCAAAGTTTGTAATACCGGTATAACAAAGCATCCAAGATCCAAACAATGCATGGCAAGTCATTATACTACTATCAAACTGCCAACCAACACATCACCACAGCACCAGCACTGATGCATAGCGGACCTGTACAAACACAAATCAGGAAATTAGATGTGAGATGGCTGAGCAGCAGGGAAGCATACGGTGAAGGGCAGCACGGATCGCGTGCAGAGGAAGGAATGGGAGGGGAATGACAAGGAATGCAACAGCGAGGCAGGGGCAAAGATTGAAGGGTGAGCAGGGGACAGCGAGCAAAGGACAGAAACAACAAATGTATGAGTGAGCAAGGAAAAGGGTGAGCAAGATGACAGAGAGCAAAGGGAAAGTGAGAGAAGGACAGAAACAGCGAAGGAGTGAGTAAGGCACAGAGTGGAAGGGTGAGGGATGAGTGTCAGGGTGGGTATGGTGGAATGGGTGGTGGAAAGATGGTAGAAGAGTGTGACGTGATACCAATGCAGAGAAGGCAAACGAAAGAGACTATTTGATTGACCTCCCAACTACCCCCTGTTGGAGGCCACTACCTCAGTGTCAGGGGTGTGTGGTGTGCCTGTGGTCGTGGGCGTGAGAGCTCTCGAGCGTTGGAAAGGCAGTCAAAGCGAACCACCACTTCCTCTGTGAGGTTGGCTGCTGCTGCCGCCGGCAGGAACCCTATCTGACCATGAAGGGCACAGTGGCAGGGTGTTGAGATATGAGGTGTGAGGCATGGGGCATGGGGCATGGGGCGTGGGGCATGAGGCAACAGATGATCGGAAAAGGGCAAGAGGGATGAAGGGGAGAAAGGCAACGGAGGGGCAAACCAGGGGGGAAATCGGAGGGGCGGGAGCTGCTGAAAGGGAAAAAGATGGAGACAAGAGGAGAAACGGATCCAGCACACGGGGATACGGAGCAACGAACAAGGGGGGAAACGGAGGGAAGGACTTGGGCGAAAGGGAGGGAGACACCAGCAACTGGGAGGGCAGAACAGGGGGGAAAGGGAGGGAGAGCTGAAGCGGGGAGCCCGAGAGACGGACAAGGGTCTTGAGAAGGAGGGAAAGTGGGACAGGGAGGAAGAAATAAGGGGGAATACGGAAGGAAGGACATGGGAAAAGGTTGGAAGGAAAAAGGGGCGAAACGGAGGAGAGGACAATGGGAAAGGGAGGCAGTGACAATAAGTGAGATGGAGGGAATGACCGGGGGGAAAGATAGGGAAGGACAATGGGGGAAACGGAGTGAAGAACAAGAAACAGGGAGGGAGAAACGTGGCGAGCTCATCAAAGGGCATGTTGGTGGACATAAGGATAGGGAAGGTAGAGGAAAGGGCAGAGCGGGCAGAGGAGAGATAAAGGGAGAAAACGGGAGAGAGGTAAAGGAAGAGAGGGACTGAGAGGGAAAAGAGGAGAGGGGCTGAGAGGGAAAGGAGGAGAGGGGCTGAGAGGGAAAGGAAGGAGAGGGGATGAGTGGGAGGGCGGCGAGGCGAAGACAGAGAAGGGAAGGAGGGGGACAGAGAGGGAAAGGAGGAGAGCAGCGGAGAGGGAAGGGAGGAGAGGGGAGATGGGAACATGTGTGAGCATGTCGTGTGTGACGTGTGTGAGTGACAAAGGAAGATGGGAAGAGGAGGAACGGGGAAGGGCGCAAGGGGGAAGAGGGGGGAAGGAGCAGATATGAGCGACATGTGCGAGCGACGTGCGTGGGTGACGGGAGTGAGAGCGAGACGGGAGTGAGAGAGCGACGGAAGTGAGAGAGCGACGGGAGTGAGAGAGCGACGGGAGTGAGAGAGCGACGGGAGTGAGAGAGCGACGGGAATGAGAGAGCGACGGGAGTGAGAGAGCGACGGGAATGAGAGAGCGACGGGAGTGAGAGAGCGACGGAGTGAGAGCGTTGCGGGCGTGAGAGATCGATGGTAGTGAGAGCGCGACGGAAGCGAGAGAGCGACGGGAGTGAGAGAGCGACGGTACATCGGAAAAACAGGGGGGTTCGAGGGGTAGGTTTTTTTCCAGGTGCTTCAAAGTAGCTCGAGTCAAAGTTACACCATACCTACCTTTCTGTTGCTTTCAGCGTGGGCGATTCGGGAATTGGAGGGGTGACGAAAGCGTCAATTCGCGTGCAGCTTGCGTGGACGAGTTCTATTGGTTCTCGATTCATACCTACGGGAAACCTACTGTTCGCGACATTTTGCCTTTCGTGTGAAGGCATTCGCCCATTTCGCCCAATCTCTCGTTTGCCAAGGGTGGAGCCGAGTTCAAAGTCCCGCTAAGGACTCTGTAGTTTCGCACGTGAAATTCATATATTTCTAGTTTAAAACAATCTGCATTATATGTGATCCACCTCATTCTACCTCTATAATTGGTATGTAAATAACTTTCAAAGTTGTAAACTACCTTATCCTTTGCAAGCCAGCTGAATTATACACTTCGCCTAGAAAAATGTCTCATTGCAATATAGAACATGGTCATCCAAAAAATGGTGAGGTCCAGATAATACAAATAATAACTTAGGTTTTTCATAGTCGCAAGTAACTTATGGAAAGTTAATTTCTTCAGACAATCGGCTGGGTCCCAGCTCCGACAGGCGTTATTCGCGACACGGGATGTTCGTTTCATCTTCGCAACGGGATGTTCAACTGTGCTTTTTGAGTATTTCAGCCTGTCACGGCACAACGATCGGCATGCTTGTACTTAGTGCTATCTAATCCATACAGCAGTTGTTTTGGGTCTGTTTCTTTCCACCAGAAGTTACATTGAGGTGCTATGAGCATACCAGTCAGGTTTCAGCAGTAATATCCAAGGAGAATAGATGCTGCGCAGATTTGCGTATTTCAGCCTGCCAGGGAACGACGATCGACCTGATTGTACCTAGTGCTGTTTGATCATTACAACAGTTTTTTTAGGTCCGTTTCTTTCCACCAATAGGTACATTGAGGTGGTACGAACATACCAGCCAGGTTTCAGCACTAATCTCCAAGTAGGATAGGTGCTGTTCAAATTTGCGTATTTCAGCCAGTCAGGGAATGACGATCAGCCTGATTGTACCCAGTGCTGTTTGATCATTACAACAGTTTTTTTAGGTCTTTCCACCAATAGGTACATTGAGGTGGTATGAACATACCAGCCAGGTTTCAGCACTAATCTCAAAGTAGAATAGGTGCTATGCAAATTTGCGTATTTCAGCCAGTCAGGGAACGACGATCGGCCTGATTGTACCCAGTGTTGTTTGATCATTACAACAGGTTATTTAGGTCTGTTTCTTTCCACCAATAGGTACATTGAGGTGGTATGAACATACCAGCCAGGTTTCAGCACTAATCTCCAAGTAGAATAGGTGCTGTGCAAATTTGCGTATTTAAGCCAGCCAGGGAACGACGATCGGCCTGATTGTACCCACTGCTGTTTGATCATTACAACAGCTTTTTTAGATCTGTTTCTTTCCACCAATATGTACATTGAGGTGGTATGAACATACCAGCCAGTTTTCAGCACTAATTTCCAATTAGAATAGGTGCTGTGCAAATTTGCTTATTCCAGCCGGGCAGGGAACGACGATCGACCTGATTGTACCCAGTGCTGTCTGATCATTACAACAGCCTTTTTAGGTCTGTTTCTTTCCACCAATAGGTACATTGAGGTGGTATGAACATACCAGCCAGGTTTCAGCACTAATCTCCAAGTATAATAGGTGCTGTGCAAATTTGCTTATTCCAGCCGGGCAGGGAACGACGATCGACATGATTGTACCTAGTGTTGTTGATCATTACAACACCCTTTTTAGGTCTGCTTCTTTCCACCAATAGGTACATTGAGGTGTTATGAACATTCCAAAATTCGATGGATGCATTTATGGATTGCGAAACATAAAAAAAAACTAAAGGTAGTGTGGTTATCAAATCCTAATTTGTTAAGGCATCTGATATTCTCCAATAGTTTTGAACCCTGGTTTTGGAAATACGTAGACAATTGGTCATGAAACCCATCCCTAGTATGTGTTTCGATCTTGTAGTACGATTTAACGTCTATTTGTAACCATTTGTGTTAGTATTTTTTAGTTCAAAATTGGTGGTATCGGATGTTGAAGGCTTGTTTCCGGACAGACTCTAACTCGAATATTGTGTAATTTGCTGTTTGTACCCAGTGCATCGCTATTACGCTGCCTGATTTGTCGAGCTGGCAAAATTGCGCGGACAGCAACGCAGCGCGCCCGTGCAATTTGCGCTCCACTTTGCAGCATCCAATTTCTGCAGCTAATCATATCCCCAGTACGATTCCAGCATCACTTTCCCAGCCAATGAAACTCGCCAGCACATTACTTGCCAGCACATTACTTGCCAGTCCAGGATATCTTCGCCACCTACGAGAACCTCCTTGTCATGGGATGCGATGGTGGCATGTGTGGTGGAGATTGTTCAGAAACGTTTCATACCTCCTGACCGTTCAATATTGGAGTGTGATAGGCTATTTTCGAGACTGTTACGTTAGGGAATTGTTTCTATTCAGTTTTTTTTCGCCAGTTTGTTTGCTTCTCATGCCCGAAACGCCAGCTTCACTTCACCTCCTCCGCCCCTTTCTCAAAACGCCAGCTCAACCTCACCCTCCCCATCCTCATTTCTCGAAACACCAGCTCGACTTCACTCTCCCTCGCTCATTTCTCTGGAGTCAAGTCTGCACAACTCCTTCCTCCCTTCACACTTCCTTTCACACATCTTACTGCCCGACGGGTGTGTCTGCTTCCTTGTCAGCCAGTCAGTGCAGCCCTGCTTACGTTTTCGTGCTCTTGTCTGTCAGCGCGCTCCTGCTCTAGCCCCGTCAACTCCAGGTACTGCCACTCTTCCTTCTAAGCATTTTCGACTTCAATCGGCATGCCTTTTCAATAGCTAGTACTTGTTAATGCACGCCTTTTTAAGACTACCCTAATTTCTAAGTTTCCTCGTTTCCACCTGTTACGTTTTTTATTTTGTACAGGTCTAATCGTTCCACCTGTTACGTTTTTTATTTTGTACAGGTCGCTTGGAAACGTGTGTGAAGGCCCTGCGACGGAAAAACTCCAGCTGCTAGGCGTCGTGGTGCGGACAGCGTTCAGCCGCTCCCTCGGCCTGACGTTTTTCAGGTAAGGATCCAATTCACGCTAGTCATTTGAGTGTCATTTTTTTTTCTGCCTTCGCCTCTTGGATGTTGTTTGCAGGTCGCGTATATGTGGAGAATAGTCTGCCGATGCGAAATCGTCGATTTATTCAGCGTGGTGTCGTTTATCCCCAGGTAGTCAGCGGCTGTGAACCTATTAGTAGCTGTTTCCAGCTACTGCCAGCGCCAGTTTTATGTTCTGTTGTGCAGGAACAGATGAATCCGGCTTGTTGGAGCCATGTGGCTATTATGTGTTATAGGATAGTTCAATAGTGATTGTTTAGAGTTAGGTTAGGTAAACCTGCTACTTGCCTGTGTTGTCAGTCGATTATGACTAACGCTGGTACGGTTTTTAGCTGATAAGTATAAAATTAATACTGTATTGCTCTAATGGGAACTATACCCAAACGCTACGTTAATTTCGGATGAAACGCAAGAATATGGAGCCCTTATTTTACGAAATTGTAACCGGTTACCCTGTTATTATTGCTATTGTTCTGTTCAAGCAATTATATTCACATATGCAAATGGCACAATATGGACCGTGTAACGAATCCAGGTTACCCTGTTGAGGCCGGTTACAGGACTCGGTTACAATTGGGGTGCCATATTTTTTGTACGGGTTTACTGGCCAAATCAATACTGTTTTTATCGGCAATTTACGACAGCATGATTGGTTTGCAACATGATAGCACAACGAATACGCGCAGGCCACGTAAGAATCGAACTGAGGGAACACATTCATAGTTACGGTAAGGCAGCTTTCAAAATTTTGAGATGTACGGCCTGGATGCTACGTTTAAAATAAGCCAATCAGTTTTGAGTTTGGTTTTCACATTTAGCTAGTGCGCGCGAGACACGTGGTAGTCGAGGTCAATAGCTACGGAAAAGTTGCTTTGGCTTATGTCGAGATGTGCGGCCGCGATCTGTCGCAGATATTTCGTCCGAAAGGGGTCAAACGAAAACCTACGCCAAAGCAACACTTCCACCCTCTTTGAAGCATGTGACAGAAAGGGTACGTCAGGGCAGCTTTGGTGTTGGTTTCTCGTAAGTTCTGTCGACCCTGTTTTTTCCGATGTAGTAAAAGCGTGACGGAAGTGAGAGAGACGGAGTGAGAGCGTGACGGGAGTGAGAGAGCGACGGGAGTGAGAGCGTTGCGGGAGTGCGAGAGCGACGGGAGTGAGAGAGCGACGGGAGTGAGAGAGCGACGGGAGTGAGAGCGTTGCGGGAGTGAGAGAGCGATGGGAGTGAGAGCGCGATGGGAGAAAGAGTTTGACGGGAGAGAGAGAACGACGGGAGTGAACGACGGGAGTGAGGGCGGGCCTTGAGTTATTGCGGACCGGCATTGAGTGCGGACTGGGATAACCTTCAGTGGCGACGAGTGATTCTCACGGTGGCGATCAATCTGAGGGTCCTGACTTTGTTCATGGCTACGAGATCGGATTTGTTATGCGCGAAAAAGTCGCCGGGAAGTTTCATCTGTATGTGCTACTAACGTCTTAGCATAGCGCGGGGAGATGGGCGTAACTATGCTGGCTACTGACGAGAACTTGGGCTATGGAGCCCACTATACTACGAGTCTAGAAAGGTGTTCTCGAGTTTCAAGTTCCGAAAGTGTGAACAGTGGTACTTGTCCTTGCTTGTTTCTCGCGAGGCTCGTTGGTGTTTTTGCTGAGGGGCATTTGGCCAATCACCTTCTGGCCCACCAGCTCCCTTCTCGGTGAGTCGCGAGAGATCAGCTTTCTGAACCTGGTTACCCTGTTCTTGACGAACACAAGTTCAAGAATCTTGAAGTTGAACCCTTACCATTCTAGACTCGGGCTTTAACCTCTCCTCCTCCTCAATTCCTCAATGCATCTCGTGCTATCGTGGGAAACAAACGCGTCAACCATTTGGCGTGTCCCATTCTCGCACCATAGCACCGCTCCAACTCATTCATTCGGATATTGCTGGACCGTTTTCATATGGAACTACCATTGGAGGCGCTCGCTACCTTCTCACCTTCATCGACGACTATTCCCGCCACATTACCGTGTATCTCCTACGCCGTTGTTCAGAGGCATTGTCGTGCTTCAAAGATTACGTCACTCGGGTGCACAATCTGCATTCCCCAAGGACCATCAAAGCGTTTCGCTCCGATGGTGCCTTGGAGTTCAATTCCGACGCCTTAACTTCATTCCTTAAAGCTCATGGCATCGCTCGACACCGCTCTACGCCGTACACACCCGAACAAAATGGAGTTGCTGAACGCGCCAATCGGACTATACTTGAGATGGTCCGTTCCATGCTTCATGATGCACACATGGACAAAGGATGGTGGGGTGAAGCCGCTCTCACTGCTGCCTATCTCCGAAATCATGCCAATAGTCGGGGTGGTTCAACTTCTAAGACTCCCATAGAACTATGGACCGGTGCACGTCCGGACGTATCACACCTCCGCATCTTCGGCTCACCCGTTTCAGTCCTCGTTCCTCCGCAACGGCGCTCCAAACTCGACGACCGAAGCACGGCCGGCATCATGGTTGGGTATGGTCATCTTGACGGCACCAAAGCTTATCGCATCTATATCCCAACTCAGCACCGTGTCACACTTTCTCGTGATGTCATCTTCATGGAGCCCTCTTCGCCACCTTCCGATGACCCTCGAGAACCTCCATCGTCATCTCCACCACCCATATCATCCTCTCCGCCTCCTCCTCCACCCCCTTCCCTCTCAGACCCAACCTCCCCTCCCTCTCGTTCACCTCCCATGACCTCTTCCACCACCCTCCTCCCACCATCTCCAAATCTGCCAGCACCAGCAACCTCTTCTCCTCCTCCTTTGTTTTCAAACCTTCCTCTGCCCTCGACGCCGCAAGACTTCCGCCTTCCATCCCTCTCCTCTCCTTCTTCAGCTCGTCCTCCCCCTTGCACCTCTAGTTCCTCACCACCATCCCCTTCAGCTCCTTCCAATCCTTCACTTTTCTCACTGCTCAAGGTCTTACCCTCTCCTTCTGAACCCATTGACTTCACCCTTCCTCCTCTTTCCAAGACCTCCGCTAATGCCGCCCTTCATCATCATTACGAACCTCAAAACATTCATGAGGCCCGCACCGGCCCTGATGCTGCTGAATGGATCAAGGCTGCTGATGCGGAACTCGCTGCCCTGCACGCTAATGACACTTACAGCGTTGTTCCTCGACCACCCAAGTGCAAGCCGATTCCATGCAAATGGATTTTTAAGGTCAAGGAGCATGCTGATGGTTCTATTGAACGCCCCAAGGCCCGCCTTGTTGTCAAAGGTTTCAAACAACGCGACGGTGACGATTTCCATGACACCTTTGCTCCTACCGTTCGCTTCGCCACCCTCCGCCTCTTCCTCACCATTGCTGCCGCTTTCGACCTGGAAGTCCATCAGCTGGACATTTCCAGCGCCTTCCTCAACGGCACTCTTGATGAAATTCTCTACATGATGCAGCCTCCCGGTTATGAGCTTCCGGCGGTCCATGGTGTTGAGCAAGTTTGTCTCTTGCACAAACCGTTGTACGGGTTGAAGCAAGCGCCGCGGTGCTGGTACCGCAAACTTCGTGAAGAGCTTGCTGCCTTTTACCTTTTTGCTGCCCGTGCGGACCCCGGCCTCTTCATTGCTCCTCCACAATCTCCTTATCGGCCTACAGCTGCTTCTTTCTTCATGCTTCTCGTCTATGTTGACGACCTCATCATTCTTTCCTCCTCCTCTTCTCTTCTCTCCTCATTCAAGCGTGCCCTTTCATCTCGCTTCAAGCTTCGTGACCTCAGTCCTCTTTCCTACTACCTTGGCTTTCACATCACTCGTGATCGGACCTCACGCACTCTCCACCTTCATCAATCCAAATTCATCACCTCCATCTTAGACACCTACTCATTCACACCTCTTAACCCTGCTGCCACCCCCATGGACACCAAGTTTCAGCCGCCCGTGACTTCCTCCCCACACTCCTCCTCCTTTCCTTACACCTCGTTTGTCGGATCCATCATGTATGCCATGGTGGGTTCCCGTCCCGACCTCGCAAATAGCGCTGGAGTTCTTGCTCGTCACCTTCATGATTGGTCTACTCCTCACGTCTCGGCTGCCAAACGCGTTGCTCGCTACTTGAAAGGGACTACCTCACTCGGGCTTCTCCTTGGCGGCGTTCCCAACACCCTTGAACTTCATGGGTGGTGTGACGCCTCTTGGGGACCGGAGGGAGAGCTCCGACGCTCCGTTACGTGCTACTTGTTCTTCCTCGGTCCGTCACTCATCTCTTGGCAGTCCAACCGTCAAGCTGTCGTCGCTACCTCTTCATGTGAAGCTGAATACTATTCTCTGGGCGCCGCGGTGCATGAGGCATTATGGCTTCGATCCCTCCTTACTGCACTTGGACTTCCCCCAACCGGCCCCACCCGCATCTCGTGTGACAACAGCAGCGCCATCATTCTGGCCAAGGACGACGGCGTCTTTCATCCCAAGGCCAAGCACATCGACATCAAGCACCATTTCATTAGTGATCATGTTGCCGACCACTCCGTCACCCTTCACTATGTTCCTACTCAAGAGAACCTCGCTGACATTGGCACCAAGCCTTTGCCCCGTGACCCTTTTCTTCGCATCCGTGGTCTTCTCGGTCTCACCCATGTCTCCGCTTGATGGACCCTACCCCGGGGACATCCTTGAGGGGGGGTGTTGTGCAGCAAGTATGTCCCAGAGGGTAGATTCTCACCTGTGGTCTTAGAGGTTGTGGGTTCAATTCTCAGTAGCTGCAGGTTCCCTTCTCATTATGCTCCACATTACATGTCCACACTCCACCACACTCCACCACAGTGAAGTGTGGTCACAGTTGGCATTGCCACCTGTCCACTCATCCCACACTCACCTTGCTGGCCTCTATGGTGTGCCATATGCTGTCATGTGGGCTGTTGTTCCAGCCTGGCCCACATGTGCAACATGTGGCCTCACTTGCTAGCTTGGCAAGGTTGGCTAGCCTAGCCTTCAGCATTGAGGTGCTGCAGCTAGCCTCAAGAGTTCAGCCACATATATGTGGCTTCCCACTTCACTAGGAATCATCCTTGACAAGGACCTTGCTCTAGTCTTTAAGACTTGTACCATTTTCTTCCTAAGGATATTTCTTCTTCCTATCGTGCCCTAAGTTCACCGATCCATTTTCTTCACCCTTTTTCCCCACACTTATGGCACCGCCTTGGGTCTTCCCAGGGCTTCTCTCTTCGTTCTTCCTCCCCCCTCCTTCCTTCAGCTGCTGCCCAGGCTGGTCTCCTTCGCTCGTTTGAGCGGCTGGAACTTGCTCCTCTCAAGCCTTCAAAGAACCTCCGCCCTTCCTCCACTTCTTTCGCCACTTGATACACCTGCCTGAGTCTCGCCTTCATCCCCAAAGCGTAAAAGGGTATTTTACCCTGATAACGAGAGCCATGGTATCAGGGTGATTTACCCTGATAAAATGAGCCCTGGCTGTGGGTGTGCACACCTAGCAGAAAATCTGTAATTCAGGTCGAGAGAAATGGCATAGTTCCTCGCCTACTTCTAGCCTGCACTACCGATTCGACCAGCATTTTTTTGGCATTTGCAGCAGTCTCAATCGCAATCTGTGCCCGTTGTGACGCACTCGCGCCCGTCCGTCGCATTAGGACTTCTCCCCTCCGTCGCTTATGCGAATCTGACTCGGTCGCGTAAACATGCTCACCTGCGTCGCCTATGCTCATCCCGCGAGTCGCGTAACCATATTTCCCTGCGTCGCCCTCGCTCATCCCGCAAGTCGCGAGAAACATATTCCCCTCCGAGGTCCACGCTACTCCCCGCCCTTCGCCTTCGCTCCGTCCCCTCCATCGCCCACGTTCACTCCCCCGCGTCGTCCACGTGCTCATCCTGCGAAGCGATGCCATGTATTGTCGTTTTGAAATATTTCACCTTTGATCAGTGCAAAGAAGGGCAACAACCAGCATATTTTCTGAAAACACAAATGACTGTTGGCCCAAATACAGCAACAAAGCTACGAAATGTTGCGCTACTTCTGCTACGCTGAATGCAATAAACCACGACCCATGCTAGTGTGACAACTCTCGGTGCTGGGCACCAGTACACTGCATGGGGGAATAGGGGTGAGTGAAAGAGGAAAGACAGTAAGAGAGCGTGAATAGGATGTGAACAATGGGAAAAGAATGGCGGGAACAGGGGTAGAGTGATGGGGGTTTGGGAGTGAGCATGGCGGAAGGAAGCGAGCCGGGAGGAAGGGGGGTGAGCAAAGGGGAAAAGAGAGCCAGCCAGCAAGGGGAAAGGAGTGAGTGAAAAGGAAATGAGGGGTGAGAACAGGTGAAAAGAGAGTGAGCAAGGGGGAAAGGTGTGTGTGAAGCGGCAGATGGGTCAATACACAGCAACTAGCACGGACGCCCTTCCCCCCCCACACACCCTCGCTTGTGGCCAGTGCATTTATGAGAAGCTTCTCCTATTCAGCCCCGCGGGTCAGAGCAGCCTTGTCCGTGCTGCACTTGCCGAACACCGCCGCCACACTGGCAGCTGCCTAGAGTGCGCTGATGGCATGCGCCTTGCGCACGTCGAGAATGACCTTCTCCATGCGCTCACACGCCACGTCCACCATCTTCGCTTGCCCGGTGGGGGGTAAAGAGGGCGGGGAGTGGGGAGTGTGAGAGAGGCGAGGAGTGGTGAGAGGAGAGGAGAGGAGAGGAGAGGAGAGGAGAGGAGAGGAGAGGCTTGCTGAAGTGGTATAGGAAGGCCTTGGCCCATGACGGGAGGGATGTGAGGGTGACGGGGGGGATTGTGAGGGCGGCGGGGAGGGATGTGAGGGCGACGGGGAGGGATGTGAGGGCGACGAGGAGGAATTGTGAGGGCGACGGGGAGGGGCGACGGGGATGGACATTGAGGGCGACATGAAGGGAAAGTGGGGACGACGGGAAGGGGAAGCGGGGACGACGGGAAGGGGAAGCGGGGACGACGGGAAGGAGAAGCGGGGACGACGGGAAGGAGAAGCGGGGACGACGGGAAGGAGAAGCAGGGACGACGGGAACGGGGAGCGGGGACGACGGGAAGGAGAAGCAGGGACGACGGGAACGGGAAGTGGGGACGACGGGAAGGGGAAGCGGGGACGACGGGAGGGGGAAAGCGAGGTCGATGGGAGGGGGAAAGCGAGGTCGACGGGAGGGGGAAAGCGAGGTCGATGGGAGGGGGAAAGCGAGGTTGACGGGAGGGGGAAGCGAGGGCGACGACCGGGAGAAGCGAGGGAGACGGGCGGGGAGGAGACGAGGCGACGGGCGGGGCGAGGGCGCAGGGCGGGAAGAGCGAGGGCGACGGGTGGGGGGCGCGAGGTGGGCAAATCGCTGCAACTTCCTGTGTCGACCATTTTCTCCGTGCTTCACACTCGCAGTCAGCGTCTCCGATTCTCTTCGATTGAGTATACGCGCTGCACCTACTAGTCGATCGTCCCTAAATTGTGTTCTCTTGATATGCATGGCTGGTGTATGCTATGCTTGGATCCTAAAAGCTAGTGTCTAAGTTGTTAGCTTGTTCTGTCGCACTGGTTTTTTACTCTGACAACAACAGCAGACAAGCGCCAGAGCCAACAACATGGATTGTCTGCTCTGCTCTGTGTCAAACTTATGTTATAGCTTGTTTAGGCTGTAGTGGGTTAGACAATAGGGGGTACAACATTTCTAGGTTTCCCCATTTGTACCCAACTCATTCCTAGTCATTTCATTCCTCGTTATTCTCACATGGTATAGAGCAAGTTCCCTAGTGGGAACGTTTTCTAGGGCCCACCACTACTACGAAATTTTTTTTTTTCCTTACCTGCCCGGAGCGCGCTTCGCGCCTGCCCTAGTCGCGCCCCGTGCGCCTGCCCTCCCGTCGCGTCCCCTGCCCTTAGCGGCCCGTCGCGCCCCTTAAGGCCCCTTCGCGGCCCCTTCTCGGCCCTTCGCGGCCCCTCTTTCAGCCCTTCGCGGCCCCTTCGCGGCCCTTCGCGGCCCCCTTAGCGGCCCTTCGCGGCCCCCTCACGGCCCTTCGCGGCCCCTTCGCGGCCCTTCGCGGCCCCCCTCACGGCCCTTCGCGGCCCCTTCGCGGCCCTTCGCGGCCCCCTCACGGCCCTTCGCGGCCCCTTAACGGCCCGTCGCGGCCCCCCTCACGGCTCTTCGCGGCCCTCTTCGCGGCTCTTCGAGGCCCCCCTCATGGCCCTTCGCGGCCCCGCCCCGTCACCTGCTGCGGCCCCGCCCTGCCCCTCTCGCCAGTCGCGGCCTCCACCTGCAGCAGCCGCCGAGGAGCCCTGCAACAGCTGCTGTCCCTGCCGCCGCCGCCGAGCCTGCCTCCGCCGGTGTGACGATCCGCCGCCGCCGCTGCCGTCGCTTCTGCCCCGGCCCTGCCCTGCTGCCGAGCCGCGGCCCTGACCTGCCGCCCAGTTGCGGCCCCGATCCTGCCCGCGCACCACGGCCCTGCCCCACCAGTAGCGGCCTCCCTACCCACCCGCCCCTGGTAAGCGCACCGCCGAACCGCGCCGCCCTGCCTAGCCGAGCCGCCCTGCCTAGCCGCGCCGTCCTATCGAGTCGCGTCGCTACTGCTGCTCCTGCTGCTCTTACTGCTCCTGCTACTGCTGCTATGGCTGCCCCCAACGTACTCAAATTCGATGCTGAGGGTCGGGCAGTAGATTTTGAGGTTTGGGTCGATGATCTACAGCTGTTTCTGCAGTGCGATAGCAAAGATCAGGTCTCGCTTTTTGATCTCACGTCTGGCGCCTCTGCTGCACCTGCTGCCACTGCTGATAGTGCTGTTCGCTCACAGTGGACCACTTGCGATGCTGCTGCCCGCCTTGCTATTCGTAGTCACCTGCCGTCTGCTGAGCGCGCGCACTTTAGTCAGTACAAGACCGCTAGGACTCTGTACGACGCTGTTGTTGCGTGCTACTCCTCCCCTGCCACTGCTGCCCTTAGTCGCCTCATGCTGCCGTACCTGTTCCCTGACCTAGTCGCTTTTGCCACAATCGCTGACCTCATCACGCACCTCCGCACTAGTGACACCCGCTACCGCGCTGCGCTTCCTGCCGAGTTCTACGCCAAGAACCCCCCCCTATGTACATCACTCTCTACTACCTCGTCACCCGGCTCCCTGACTCCCTTTGCTCGGTCAGGGATCACTTCCTCTCCCTCTGCCCCACCACGCTCACCGTTGACCTCCTCGAGGAGCGCCTCCTTGCAGCTGAGAAGAGTATAGTCGCTGTAGGGGCCTCTCGTGGTGACCCTTGCGCCCCTTTCTTTGAGGGGTGCTCCCCATCTCCCCTCTTGCCCTCTGTTGCCTCTGCTGCTGCTGTCGACCTCGTTGGCATGGAGTCGGTCGGCGCTGCGTCTGCTCCTAGTGGGAGGCGCCGCACCAGCAAGGGCAAGGGGGGCAAGGGGGGTGGAGGCGGCGGCGGGGGCGGCGGTGGTGGCGGTGGAGGTGGCAGAGGGGGTGGGGGTGGAGGTGGAGGTGGGAGTGGTGGCTCGGGTGGGGGCTTCGGTGGCGGCGGTGGAGGTGGAGGCGGCGGAGGCAGCGGGAGTGGGGGTGGAGGTGGCGGCGGCGGGGGTGGCGGCGGCCGTGGTGGGCAGCGGGGAGGCACTAGCGGTGACCAGCGCCAGCAGCAGCAGCGCTCCCGTGAGACCCTGTCGCCTCAGCAGCTCCGTGAGTGGTACGCTGGGCGTGGGAGGTCTGGGGGTGCTGGTCCCTGCACTTACGTTCTTCGCACCGGCGACCGCAGTGGAGAGACGTGCGGCGGCCCGCACACCACACCTCGCTGCTTCGGCCACCTGACTGACGCCTGGCGTACTCAGTTCCCTGGCTCTGCTGAGATCCCTCGCTGGGATATTCTGCTTAAGTCGGGGGTTGCTATCTTTGATCTTGACTTTGATGCTATCCTTGCTGCTATGTATGCTGTGTCTATTAGTGCTGAGGGTGACTGTTACTTGTGTGTTCTGCCCGACCCGGGCATTGAGGCTGCTGCACTAGGTGCTCGCGAGTCTACTGCTCCAGGTGCTGGTGAGACTGCTCTCTCAGGTACAGCGTCGGCTCAGGTCTTACACACTTTCACCCTTGACTCGGGTGCTTCCCGCTCCTTCTTTCGCGACTGCACCACACTCTCGCCGCTCAGTCGGCCTGTAGCAGTCTCTCTGGCTGACCCCTCTGGGGGACCAGTTGTGGCCCGTTCCTCCACTGTTCTTCCGTATCTTGCGGCTCCGTCCGGCTCTCTGTCTGGTCTTCACCTCCCCTCGTTCTCTACGAACTTGGTAATGGGTGCTGATCTTCAGGATGGGGGTGTTCACCAGTTCACCCCTGCCTATCAGCGTGTGACACACTGCACGTGTGCTCGGACGGGTCGTCACCTGACCACGTTCACCCGTCGGCCAGGGTCCAGCCTGTACACCCTTACCACTGAGTCTCCTCCTGTCACTGCGACTGGTCAGGTAGCAGCGTCGGGTCAGGTGTTTGCTGCGGTGTCCCGGTCTGGCCCTGAGTCAGCCCCCTGCTCGTGTCGTCTCCTGTCTCACGAGACTCTCCTTTGGCACCACCGCCTTGGTCACCCCTCCCTGCCTCGTCTCAGAGGCATGGCCTCCCGTGTCCTTGTCTCTGGTCTCCCCCCTTCCCTTCCTCCCCTTCCTCCGGGGCCTGCCCCTACCTGCGTTCCCTGCGTCGAGGGCTGGCAGCGCGCCGCTCCCCACTCCTCCAAGTTTCCTCCGACAGAGGCTCCCCTGCAGACTCTTCACATGGACGTGTGGGGCCCAGCCCGCGTCCGTGGACAGGGTCACGAGCGCTACTTCCTGCTGGTTGTTGACGACTACTCGCGTTACACCACAGTCTTCCCCTTGCGCCGCAAGGGTGAGGTCACTGAGGTGTTGATCGACTGGATCCGCGCTGCTCGTCTCCAGCTCAGAGAGAGTTTCGGCTCGGACTTTCCTGTTGTGCGTCTGCACTCAGACAGAGGTGGAGAGTTTTCCTCCGACCTTCTGCAGGCCTACTGTCGGGCGGAGGGCATCCACCAGACGTTCACGCTTCCGGCCTCTCCACAGCAAAATGGGATTGTTGAGCGCCGCATTGGCATGGTCATGGATGTCGCTCGTACGTCCATGATCCATGCGGCTGCTCCCCATTTTCTGTCGCCGTTCGCGGTTCAGTACGCGGCGCATCAGATCAACCTCCAGCCCCGGGTCTCCATGCTGGAGACCACTCCCACTCTGCGGTGGACGGGGAAGGTTGGCGATGCGTCTGCGTTCCGTGTCTGGGGATCTCGAGCTTTCGTCCGCGACTTGTCTGCGGACAAGCTGTCCTCCCGTGCCGTTCCCTGCGTCTTCCTTGACTCCCCCCCTGACACGCCTCGCTGGCAGTTTTACCACCCCACCTCGCGCCGTGTTCTGTCCTCTCAGGACGTCACGTTTGACGAGTCGGTTCCCTACTACCGTCTCTTCCCCTACCGCACTGCCCCCCTCCCCCCCTCGCCGCTCTTCCTCACGCCAGGTCCTCCCCAGGTAAACCCCCTCCCCCCTCAGGGTCCTGCCCCCTCAGGTGTGTCCCAGGTAGACGCAGTCGAGCCTGTCGAGTTAGCTGTTGACTCTGGTGCTGCTAGGGGTGCTGAGCCTGCGGGTGCTGGGTCTTGGGGGTGCTGAGCCTGAGCGTGCAGAGCTTGGGGGTGCTGAGTCTGGGGGTGCTGAGACTGGGGGTGCTGAGCCTGGGGGTGCTGAGCCTGGGGTTGCTGAGTCTGGGGGTGCTGAGACTGGAGGTCCTCCGAGTGTCCCGTTGCGGCGGGAGCCCCTCTCTCCACGACAGCTTCGTGAGTGGTACGCTCGGCGCTGTAGCCGTGCTGCTGGAGCTGGGGGGCCTACTGCAGGAGGTGCTGCTGGTGCTGGAGCTGCTGGAGGTGCTGCTGGTGCTGGAGCTGCTGGAGGTGCTGCTGGAGCTGGAGCTGCTGGAAGTACTGCTGGAGCTGGGGCTACTGGAGGTGCTGCTGGTGCTGGAGCTGCTGGGGGTACTGCTGGTACTGGAGCTGCTGGAGGTGTTGCCAGTGCTGGAGCTGCTGGAGGTTCTGCTGGTGCTGGAGCTGCTGGGGCCGCTGGCCCTGGAGGTGCTCGTACAGGAGTTTCTGGAGCTACTGGGACTGGAGCTACTGCGGGAGTTGGAGCTGGAGGTGCTGGAGCTGCTGGAGCTACTGGTGGTGCTGCAGGAGTTGTAGCTGGAGACCCTGGAGCTGAGGGTGCTGGTGGTGTCTCTGCTGGTTCTGGAGGCGCTGCGCGGCCGCGGCCGTACTTCGTTCTGCTCCTTCAGCAGGTTCTTGGTCTCCCGCCTCCTCCTGCTCCTACTCCCTCTTTAGAGTGTCCTCTGCCTGTCCAGTCGCAGTCACAGTTACAGCCTGCCTCGCCACTCCCTGGTCCTTCTCCCTACACTGGTCCGACCGGAGGTCTTACGGAGCGTCGTAAGCCTGAGTCTCGTCCTGCGTCGCCTGAGTCTCGTCGTGCGTCACCTGTTCGTGCTGCTCGCACTGGTCGTCGTGTTCCGCGTCAGCGTCCTCCTGCTGTCCCAGGCACACACCAGATGGCGCTTCGTCCTTCCACTGCTCCTCAGCGTGTCCCTCTGTTGTCTCCTCCTGCATCCTCTCTTCCAGCTCTTGCTGACCCGGAGTCTGACTCCCTTCGTGCTTCTAGTCCTACTATCACGCGTCTCCTGGCTACTGTTGTCACTGACCCTTCCTTTGAGTCCACTGCTGCGTCTGCCTTAGTTGCTGAGCTTGTTGAATTTGCTGCTCACTGTCGTCTCGACTACGCCGCTAGTCTTGTTGCTGAGTCTGAGTCTGTCTGTCCTCCGTCCGTCGGGGGTGAGTGTGCTCTTAGCACGGACGTTCTTGAGGACAGGCAGGAGGAGTTTGAGTGCTTTGCTGCTGCTTTACCTCATCTCGTGTCCATGCTGATTGCCCCTGAGGGAGACCCAGATGCACCAAACATCCCGACCCCGCGCTCTTACGCAGAGGCGATAGAGGGTCCCTACTCCTCTCAGTGGCAGTCAGCCATGGACGCAGAGATGGCTTCCTAGAAGTCCACAGGCACCTACGTAGACGAGGTTCCCCCGCCTGGGGCGAACATCGTCAGTGGCATGTGGATTTTCAGGGTGAAGCGGCCGCCGGGTTCTCCGCCTGTCTTCAAGGCGCGTTACGTTGCACGAGGCTTCAGTCAGCGTGAGGGAGTTGACTTCTTCCAGACCTTCTCCCCTACCCCGAAGATGACCACTCTTCGGGTTCTGCTGCACGTCGCCGCTCAGCGTGACTACGAGCTCCACTCTCTTGACTTCAGCACTGCTTTCCTACAGGGCAGCCTGCACGAGGAGATCTGGCTACGCCGCCCACCTGGCTTCACTGGGTCGTTTCCTCCTGGTACCCAGTGGAGCCTCCGGCGGCCGGTCTATGGTCTCCGCCAGGCACTCCGTGAGTGGCACGACACACTGAGGACGACTCTTGCTGCTCTTGGGTTTGCTCCTTCTACTGCTGACCCATCGCTGTTTCTACGCACCCACACCACTCTGCCGCCGTTCTACGTTCTCGTGTACGTAGACGACTTGGTTTTTGCTACTGGTGACACTGAGGCACTCGCCCACGTGAAGTCGGAGCTGCAGAAGAGACACACGTGCACAGACCTGGGTGAGCTGACAAGCTATCTTGGCTTGCGGATCACCCGGGACAGAGCACAGCGCACCATTACCTTGACTCAGTCACACATGGTGCAGCAGGTCCTTCAGCGCTTCCGCTTCACGTACTCCTCGCCACAGCCCACTCCTCTGCCTACGCGCCACTCGCTCTCAGCTCTGCCTTCGGATGAGTCCGTAGAGCCGAGTGGCCCGTATCCAGAGCTTGTGGGCTGCCTAATGTACTTGATGACCTGCACTGGACCCGACCTTGCATACCCTCTTAGCATCCTAGCACGCTATGTCGCTCCTGGGAAACACAGGATGGAGCACATGGATGCTGCTAAGATGGTGTTGCGCTACTTGTGCAGTACATCGGGCATGGGGCTCGTGCTTGGAGGGCGACGTTCAGTGGTCCTCACTGGTCACGCAGACGCTTCTTGGGCTGATGACTTGGCTACGCAGAGGTCGTCACAGGGTTACACCTTCAGCCTTGGTTCCGGCTCTGTTTCGTGGCGGTCTACCCGCTCGTCTTCTGTTCTCGGCTCCAGCTGTGAGGCCGAGATCTACGCAGGGGCCATGGCTGCACAGGAGTTACGCTGGCTTACCTACCTGCTGACCGACCTGGGAGAGCCACCCCGTTCTCCTCCAGTTCTGTACGTAGACAACAAGGCCATGCTGGCCTTGTGTCAGGAGCACAGACTGGAGCACAGAACGAAGCACATTGCTCTTCGCTACTTCCTTGCACGTGAGCTGCAGCAGCGTGGTCAGCTGCGCCTTGCTTACGTGGCCTCTCAGGCCAACACTGCTGATATCTTTACCAAGGCACTGCAGCCTTGTGATCATCAGCGCTTCTGTACTATGTTAGGTCTTGTGCCTACCTGGCCTCACTTGCTTACCTCTTGACTTTTCTTTGTACTGTGATCTCTATACATATACCTGCATGCTTACACTTGCTAGGTTGTGATCACTGTACCTCTTGTTATATTATCAAACTGCATGTGAACTGGTCTTGTGACCGCTTGCTTGTGCTCGGAATTTGTGTGGTATCCTTGAGATCCACCCTGAGCTTGCTTTGCTTTTCTTGACTGGTCTTGTGACCTCTTGTTCTCCCCCACTTTGCCTATGGGGGTGTGTCAAACTTATGTTAAAGCCTGTTTAGGCTGTAGTGGGTTAGACAATAGGGCGTACAACATTTCTAGGTTTCCCGATTTGTACCCAACTCATTCCTAGTCATTTCATTCCTCGTTATTCTCACACTCTGTACAGCAGACAAGCGCCAGAGCCAACAACATGGATTGTCTGCTCTGCTCTGTACAGCAGACAAGCGCCAGAGCCAACAACCTGGATTGTCTGCTCTGCTCTGTACAGCAGACAAGCGCCAGAGCCAACAACATGAATTGTCTGCTCTGCTCTCTACAGCAGACAAGCGCCAGAGCCAACAACATGGATTGTCTGCTCTGCTCTGTACAGCAGACAAGCGCCAGAGCCAACAACATGGATTGTCTGCTCTGCTCTGTACAGCAGACAAGCGCCAGAGCCAACAACATGGATTGTCTGCTCTGCTCTGTATAGCAGACAAGCGCCAAAGCCAACAACATGGATTGTCTGCTCTGCTCTGTGCAGCAGACAAGCGCCAGAGCCAACAACATGGATTGCCTGCTCTGCTCTGTGCAGCAGACAAGCGCCAGAGCCAACAACATGGATTGCCTGCTCTGCTCTGTGCAGCAGACAAGCGCCAGAGCCAACAACATGGATTGTCTGCTCTGCTCTGTACAGCAGACAAGCGCCAGAGCCAACAACATGGATTGTCTGCTCTGCTCTGTGCAGCAGACAAGCGCCAGAGCCAACAACATGGATTATCTGCTCTGCTCTGTGCAGCTGACAAGCGCCAGAGCCAACAACATGGAGTGTCTGCTCTGCTCTGTGCAGCAGACAAGCGCCAGAGCCAACAACATGGATTGTCTGCTCTGCTCTGTGCAGCAGACAAGCGCCAGAGCCAACGACATGGATTGTCTGCTCTGCTCTGTGCAGCAGACAAGCGCCAGAGCCAACAACATGGATTGTCTGCTCTGCTCTGTGCAGCAGACAAGCGCCAGAGCCAACGACATGGATTGTCTGCCCTGCTCTGTGCAGCAGACAAGCGCCAGAGCCAACGACATGGATTGTCTGCCCTGCTCTGTGCAGCAGACAAGCGCCAGAGCCAACAACATGGATTGTCTGCTCTGCTTTGTGCAGCAGACAAGCGCCAGAGCCAACAACATGGATTGTCTGCTCTGCTCTGTGCAGCAGACAAGCGCCAGAGCCAACAACATGGATTGTCTGCTCTGCTCTGTGCAGCAGACAAGCGCCAGAGCCAACAACATGGATTGCCTGCTCTGCTCTGTGCAGCAGACAAGGGCCAGAGCCAACAACATGGATTGTCTGCTCTGCTCTGTACAGCAGACAAGCGCAAGAGCCAACAACATGGATTGTCTGCTCTGCTCTGTGCAGCAGACAAGCGCCAGAGCCAACAACATGGAGTGTCTGCTCTGCTCTGTACAGCTGACAAGCGCCAGAGCCAACAACATGGATTGTCTGCTCTGCTCTGTGCAGCTGACAAGCGCCAGAGCCAACAACATGGATTGTCTGCTCTGCTCTGTGCAGCAGACAAGCGCCAGAGCTAACAACATGGATTGTCTGCTCTGCTCTGTGCAGCAGACAAGCGCCAGAGCCAACAACATGGATTGTCTGCTCTGCTCTGTACAGCAGACAAGCGCCAGAGCCAACAACATGGATTGTCTGCTCTGCTCTGTGAAGCAGACAAGCGCCAGAGCCAACAACATGGATTGTCTGCTCTGCTCTGTGCAGCAGACAAGCGCCAGAGCCAACAACATGGATTGTCTGCTCTGCTCTGTCCAGCAGACAAGCGCCAGAGCCAACGACATGGATTGTCTGCTCTGCTCTTTGCAGCTGACAAGCGCCAGAGCCAACGACATGGATTGTCTGCTCTGCTCTGTACAGCTGACAAGCGCCAGAGCCAACAGCATGGATTGTCTGCTCTGCTCTGTGCAGCAGACAAGCGCCAGAGCCAACAACATGGATTGTCTGCTCTGCTCTGTACAGCAGACAAGCGCCAGAGCCAACAACATGGATTGTCTGCTCTGCTCGATACAGCAGACAAGCGCCAGAGCCAACAACATGGATTGTCTGCTCTGCTCTGTACAGCAGACAAGCGCCAGAGCCAACAACATGGATTGTCTGCTCTGCTCTGTGCAGCAGACAAGCGCAAGAGCCAACAACATGGATTATCTGCTCTGCTCTGTACAGCTGACAAGCGCCAGAGCCAACAACATGGAGTGTCTGCTCTGCTCTGTGCAGCTGACAAGCGCCAGAGCCAACAACATGGATTGTCTGCTCTGCTCTGTGCAGCAGACAAGCGCCAGAGCCAACAACATGGATTGTCTGCTCTGCTCTGTTGTGTGATGCAATCATATGCATTCACGTCTGTCTGCCTCCCATCATATGTTCGTGCGTTGCATGCGTGTTGTGAGTGTGTGCAAGAATTTGTGTTTTGTGCGGTTTGGTTTTTCTGAGTGTGTGTGTGAATGTTATTTGGCTTGAGTAGATATCTGAAGTGACTCCTCTGCTCAAGAGCTTTCCGACGAACCAAGTATCGCTTCAATCGGAGCACGAACAAGAAAGTTACGAACGTTGGAGTTCGTAAGCTTTTGATATTTGGTTGTGGTGACTATGGGAAGTTGTGGGGTTGACTCAATATGGGGTACAGACTTTTGGGGGTTGGGAAATTCGTCTTTTCTACTGTAGTTGCTGCCAAATGGTTGGGAGAAACCAAACCAGGTTGGCAAGTGTGGCCAAGTTGGGTTGAGGTGGATTGTGGAGGTTGGGATAGTGACAAAGGTCAAAGTTGGGTTGCCTATGGGGAAGGGAATTGTATGGCATGGGGTTTCCTTGGTTGGGGACTCTCTTGGGACCTTCCCTCTCGTCCTCCTCATCCCCTCCTACCTGGTTCTATTGCTACTCTAACTTTCTTGTGTGAACTTGTGAGATCATTGTGATTGAGTTACGTTTTCTATGGCAGCATACCCCCTAGTGCGCCGAAGTTCATAACTGGAGTTATACTCCATATTCTGATACTATTCAAATTGGGAAAGATAGCCACGGTCAAGGGCTACAACATAATCGAGTTTGAAAGAATTCTAACAGTGGACCTTTCGTCGACGACGTTTCTTGTGACGACGACTTTTCTGTCCAGAATTGTAGTTGACGATTTTGAGATATTTCAGCCCCTAATCTTCATAGACTCCGTCCTTAATCTCTAACAAGTGGTATCAGAGGTGATTAAGGACCTTGTGGGGAGTCTACTGAAGTGTGAAGACCCTCCTAGACCCACCATGGCCTGTGGGCGTGCCTAAGTGGAGTTCTGGAGGTTGGATGTGACTTCCGCTAAGGGGAAACTCTGCCGAAATTTCGTTGGCGCTGACACTTGTGAAGATTGTGTGGATCTACATTGTGACCAGCAAAGGGGGAGCTGAAACCTCTGATTGGGAACAGAGGAGATGAATCAAAGGAGTGGAGATGCAGCTGAGAAGAGGAGTGAACCGCCCCCATCCAAGATCGAAGCTTTGGATGGCTCCAACTATGAGGAATGGAGCGGGCGGATGCGGAGCGCCTTCAAGCGCTACAAGCTGCTGAAAATTGCAATGGGAGAGGAGAAGATGCCGGGGGAAGGAGATGCCCGCGATCGGTGGATTGAGAAGAGCGCGGTGCTTTACCACCTCATCCTCCAATCGGTCAACAACGACATGTTCCAGCACATCAAGGATTTGGTGGAGTTGGATGATTCCGGACCGAAGGCTTGGAAGCTGCTACGCGACGTGATTCAGCCCAACACGCTGCCGATGGTGATTGTGTTGGAGAAGGAGTTGGCTGCCCTCTCCATGAAACCGGGAGATGATGTGAAACCGGTCCTTGACAAGATCAAGGACACCTATGCGAGGATGGCAGCGGCGGGCAGCGAAGTGTCGCAGATGCAACAGTGCACCAAGATCATCTCGGTGCTCGACAACTCGTGGGACAACCTCATCCCCACCCTCAATGTTCAGCAGGACAAATGGACGCCTGAGTGGCTACGGCAGCAGATTCTGCAGGAGGACTTCCGCAGACGCCACACGGGAGGTGGTGCTGCCAACAAAACTGCTGAGGGGTATGGAGCTGCAGGAGGCAGCAGAGGAAGAGGGGGAGGGAGAGGCCGAGGCCGTGGGAGAGGCTTTGGCAGAGGGAGAGGCCGAGGTGACTACAATGAGGGGCATGGGAGCTCTAATGGCAGGGGGAGCACCCGAATGGAGGGTGCGTGCTGGTACTGCAAGAAGGCTGGACACCCGTGGTTCAAGTGTTTCAGCCGGCCTGAGGGATGGGCCCCTCCAGGCATGAAGCCGCCAAGTGGTGAACGTGCACGCGGTGGCGCTGTGCAAGGTTCAGGTGCACAAGGTGATGGTGCACAAGGTAAAGCCGACCCTGGGATGTTCCTCATGGTTGAGGATTTGCAAGGGAGTGGGGGTGATGTGGGTTCAGTTGGGAAGGTTGTGATGCACCCCCTCACTCACTGGGTGATCGATTCAGGTTGCACGAGTCATATGACCCCACGGGCAGATTTGCTTGATGAGGTAAAACCTCCTGGGAAAATCAAGTTTGTGGCTGCCGCTTCAGGTGCTTTGCTCCCTGTGATTGGTGTTGGGAATGCCAAGGTGATGGGAGCCAATGGAGAGCTTGTGGGGCTTGGAAATGTGCTGTTGGTTGAAGGTTTGTCCGCTAACCTTCTTTCTGTGCGCCGGCTGCAGAAGAGCAAGGCTGAAGTTACCTTCGGCCCAACCAGCTGCCGTGCAAAGCTTGGGAAGTTGCTGCTGTGGAACTTGGAGGAGAAGAGCAGCTGCATCAAGGACCTGTGGCAGCTGCCCATCATCCCTTGGAAAGGGAAACCACCAGCAACGGCAAAGGCAGCGGCAGCGGCTAAAGCAACTGCGAGAGGAGAGGAGACTGCACCAACTGCTGGGGCCCTGGATGCAGTCAAGAAGGTGCATCAGCCACAACAGCCACATGGTGAGGTGCTTGCTGGTGTGGATGCGACAGCTGCATGGGCAAAGGCTTCATCTGGGAGTGGTGAGGCTGATTGGGAGACGTGGCATGAGAGGCTGTGCCATGTGAACATTCCTATGCTGCAGAAGTTGGTAAAGGATGGGTGCTTGAAGGGGTTGGAGGTGAAGGGGGCAGCGAAGGAGATTGGGAGCTGCCCTACATGCCTTGAAACGAAGTTCACGAAGTTTCCCTTCAGCAGCAGCACGGGACCAGCCAAGGCACCGCTCGCGCTTGTGCACATGGATGTGGTGGGCCCCACAAGGGCCCTTTCTCTCTCGGGCAGCCGCTACTTCTTGACGATTGTGGACGACCACACGCGTGCGGTGTGGGTGTACCCTCTCAAGACTAAGGGGGAGGTGGCAGCGGCTGTTCTTAAGGAGTGGATGCCGAGAGCACAAAGGGAAAGCGGACACAAGGTGAAGGTGATCCGCACTGACAACGGAGGAGAGTTCATCGGCGCTGATTTTGAGAAGGAGCTGAAGCGGAAGGGGATCCAGCATCAGCTCACAGTGCCTTACAACCCTCAGCAGAATGGCGTGGCTGAGCGGTTCAACCGGACCCTGCAGGAAGGTGCTCGCACTCTCCTTGGGCGTGCAGGGCTGCCGGATCCGTTTTGGGTGACAGCACTGCGGCAGGTCGCCCTTGTGAAAAACAGGGTGCTGGCGACTGTGGGGGACAAGCAGTGGGTCCCCTACACCAAGTGGTATGGAAGTGCACCAGCTGTGAACATGCTGAGAGCCTTTGGGTGCATGGTGGTGTTTCATGTGCCTAAGGAGAAGAGGGGAAAACTGGAAGCTTCTGGGAGATGGGGTGTGCACTTGGGGCTTGCTAAGGATCACAAGGGCTGGCTGATTTGGGACTTGACCGGCCAGCAGCTGACTGTGTCAAGGGATGTGAAGTTCCTTGAGTCCTTGTACTACAAGGAGTGGAAGCAGCAGCAGCAGAAGCTTCCTACGACACCGCTAATTGTCGAGGCCGATGAGGTGCAGCGGCCTTCGAGGCAAGTGGAGGTTTCTGTCTCTGAGAATGAGATCTCTGGGGTGACTGAGGATGGGGGAGAACCTGAGGTGGAGGAGCAGCAGCAGCAGCAACAGCAGCAGCAGCCGCAGCAGCAGGAGGAGCAAGGTGCTCCACAAGGTGCCGGACGTACGGCTGACCATCCTAGGAGGGATGTGCGCCCTCCTAACAGGCTGACCTATGCAATCCGTGGCAAGCCAAAGGTGGTAAGGGCTGGGAGTGTGGCTGAGCAGTGTGATGAGGATGAGATAGCACACTGCTACTGGGCAGCCGTCCCTGAGCCCAAGACGCTAGCTGAGGCATTGAGCGGGCCCGATGCTGAAAAGTGGAAGCAGAGTGTGAAGGAGGAGTATGATTCTCTGCTGGAGAATGAGACATGGGAGCTGTGTGAGCTGCCACCCGGGAAGAAGGCCATTTCTTCCAAGCTGATTTTCAGGCACAAGTACGGACCTGATGGGGCGCTGACCCGCTACAATTCAAGGCTTGTGGCTAAGGGGTTTCAGCAGACAAAGGGAAAGGACTTCAACGAGCTCTATGCTTCTGTGGGGAAAGGCACAACACTTCGGGTGTCATTGGCAATGGCAGCATACGGTGGATGGCGGGTGAAGCAGATGGACATCACCACCGCCTTCCTCAATGGGATCATTCTGGAGGAGCTGTACATGTTACAGCCTGAGGGTTTGGATGATGGGAGCGGCAGGGTGTGCAGGCTGAAGAAGGCCATCTATGGCCTGAAGCAGGCTCCTCGTGCATGGTACCACAAGTTAGAGGAGACTCTGCTGGCTGGGGGTTTCAAGAAGAGTGAGTGTGATCACAGCTTGTTCCTGCTGCAGGAGAAGGAGCAGTTTCTCATGCTCCTGGTGTATGTGGATGACATCCTGCTCTTCTCTGAGTCGTCTGCAATGATTGAGCATGTGGAGGAGATGCTGGAGATGCAGTTTAAGTGCTCCAAGATGGGAGATGTGAAGTACTATTTGGGCATGCATGTGGAGAGGGACCTTGACAAGGGAGTGTTGAGGTTGCACCAGAGAAAGTATTGTGAGGGGCTGGCTGAGAAGTATGGGCTGCAAGATGGAGGAAAGCCAGCCACCCCACTGCCTTCGGGGTTCACTGTGGAGCCCTGTGCTGAAGAGGAGGTGGTGGGTGAGAGTGACAGGAAGCTGTTTCATTCCATGGTGGGGGCACTCAATTATGCGGCTAACCACACGCGGCCTGACATTGCCTTTGCTACATCCAGGCTTGCAAGTGTGGTTTCACGCCCCAGTCATGAGCAGCTGGAAGCGGC